CAGCAGGTACTGCCTTCCTCCTCCTATTCTCTGGGGTACTGGAGACAAGTACCTCCGTCGTCGTCCTCCACACTCACTGGTACTGTCGACTCTTCACAGTCCAGCACAGCTTCCCTCGCCTTAACTGCCAGTAGATTTGGGCCCGGCCCTAGCTTCTCGCTTGTTGTGTAAGACATGGTCCTCTAGTGGGCGTCCCAGACGTCACCAGCCCAACGTTCCTTCTTCTGTAGACTCTTGATACGGTTTTTGGCTCTTCAATCCGGTCCGTCCTTGCCTCTGGGCACTCCACGGAAGTTGGATGGCTTCCCAGACCGTCTGCAGAATCGAAGCGGAGCTTAAATATACTGGTAAGGGCTCTCTAGGTCCGGAGCTCGCTCGAGCGCGTCTTCCCTCTCTGACGGCTCGTGACGTACTGTCCTCCCACCCAGGCGTGAGCTGCCCCGCGCCCTCCACCTCATGACGTCACACTGTCCGAGGGCTCTCGTCATTGGTCACTTCCGGCTTGTGACCTCACCTGGCCAATCAGGTGCCGGGAAGCGTCAGGACATCTTGGCGGGAAACAGGATGGCTCGTCACCATCCTGTGCTTCAAAAGGCGTAAGGCCCTTACATTATCAAACCTAGCTGGCCATTTTTACAGCCAGCTTAATCACGCTCCACGCTTTCCCACACATGAAAATGTTCCCTGAACATCAGAGAACACTTAGGCTACGGAGATATGACTCTTCTAAGCTGGGAAGGAAGAAATATAGGGGAGGACACCGTCACACTACACATGATTACTACACGAATCAAGAAGAATAAGAAGAAGTAGAAGAAAGAAAGAAGAATATGGACGAAGAAAAAAGATGACGACGCAGAAGATAGAAGAAAGAAAAATGAAGACACCATTAGAAGACAGATTATCACCACCTAGAATGAAGAAGCACCGCCACAGCCGCCCTTCCTGACCCGACTCGACGAGTAGCCATTTGTGGGGTTGTTCCAGCATCGATTCTTAACACGCAGCTGGGTCAAGCCCTGACTCTTTTTCTAAAACCTCAGCGCTTCCCCTTACCGGTTTCTCTGCAGCTGTTCCCCACTTCAATGCCCCACCCAATGGGTATCTTGTCCTGTATCTTTTTATCGTATCGTATCAGCCTTCGTCAGCTTCTGGTATAGGTCTTCGACCCATAAACAGATTAACTCCGTTGTTTATACCAGGGGTGGGCAACCTCTGGCATGCGTGCCAAACTTGGCACGCCGATGACTTGTCTCTGGCACGCAAGAGCATAGGTTACCCTAAGCACAGATGCAAGCACATGTTACCCTAAGCACAGACAAAAAAAAACTACTTTCCTTTGGGTATAAGCTTATATGCCATGACAGTATATGTACGTCCTGGTGGTAAAGAGGTTTAAGCTCTACGAAGCTAAAGAGGTCTCAAGAAAAAGAAGTTGATCTTGTTGCCACAGTTACCTTCTTTTTTACGTCATCGATCATGCCGATGTATGATGATTCCCCTCTATTTACTTTGGCTCATATTTTATGTAATAAGCCTTTCTAACCTAAAGGCTGCACCTATACCATAGTGTACACTGACAATCATATCTGAAGACAAAATACGCCATGCCTGCCCACCTTTAAAAATTAATTTCGTAAACTTTGAATTTAAACCCCCTCAACATCTCCCCACCCCCTAAACCTCATGTGTTTGAATGCCGCCCGACTTCAGTTTGACGCATATTAATTAAACTCACTTTACTATCTAAATCTAAAGCATCTTCACCTTCGAAAGCTAAAGAGAGATAAGAATTCTTATGCTCTCCCCTTCTCTCCATTGACGGCTGTAATATAACCAGTGAAATCAACAGTCCCCCACCCCCATGAAGTCCCCGTAGTGAACACATGTTCAGACGATCTCAGACTCGTAACTCTCTCTCGCAGTCTTGCTTCGTAGTGTTTCTCACAGTTGCTCACTTGCCTCCACCCCGAGAAGAAGGTCAGTACTTCATCTCCAGGTGAAAATTATTCGCCTTATAAATCAATAACTTTGTGAAACTCAATATCATTGTAAGAATAGTCTTAATCCTTATATTCACATGTACTCGCTCGCCTGCTCCCTAAGAACAGAGCTGACATAAGCAAGATGTCACCGACTCAACGATGTTTCGCCACAACACACCACACAAACACACAAAAACGGGTTTTGTCTATCGAACCAAGTGAAGTCTTATAAACTCTTGGCATAAGTACTCAATGCCTAGGAAGTAGTGTCTTTGTGATAAGCGGCTGCTGGTGTTGTTTCTGGAATTATGTAAAATCAAGAAAACCTTCTAATTTCCATAAAAGAAAAAAAAATCCTCTGAAGATTTTTATTATGTTCATTGTCTCGTCACGCTTACCTCAAACATTGGCTTATTAAACTTATTGATTGGTATTAGAATAAACGTACGTATACTTTACTACAAAGTTTGTGTGTGCTATAATATTAACAGGAAATAAATAATTCTTTAAATACTCGCATTTCAGTACAAGTAGGCTAATTCATTTCTCGTCACTGCACTTCAGAACGACAACACAATCCGTTATCATTGCTATTCATTGGAGTTACTCATCATATACTATTTTGACTTACTTTTGATCTTCCTTCTCGTCCATGCATATCAATATATTACTTATTGTAATTTCATGCCCTCTACAGATTGTACAGAATGACACCACCACCAGCTAAGAAACGATGTCAGTCAAATGAAGAGGATATTAGAGAATTTAAGGAATACTGGACTGAAAAGTTTGGCATGATTAAGAAGGATGATAAAGCTTGATGCATTTTCTGTTCTTACACAGTTGTTTGTAGAACTTCTTCTGTAAAGAGACATTTTGAAAATGTTCATAAGAACTTAAGCAATAAAACTGAGGAGGAACAAAGAGAATTAATTTCTCGTGAACTGAGCAAAGACAAAAACACAAGCTGAAACTTTTATGAATTATATTTCAGGTAGGCCCAGTTCCAACTTAGTTGCTGCTAGTTTTGAAGTTTCAAAAGATATTGCCCAACACGGATTTATTGAATGCTTAGATGAGATAAAGCTCTATTTGAACGACCAACAAGTGTCATACCAGGAATTTTCTGACATCGTGTGGGTTTGTAAACTGATGTTTTTTGCAGATTTTTGTGAACATTTAAATGAATTGAATATTAAGTTACAGGGCTCTGGTGAGACACCTGATGTTATGTTTTGTTACATAAAAGCTTTTGAAATGAAGCTTAAAGTTTTTAAGAGGGATGTAGATAATGAGAGATTTAGATACTTTCCAAACCTAAAGAGGTACATCAGTGATCTAAAAGATGACAGAACAGACCACAAATGTCTTCAAAAGCTGTTTGTAAACATTATCGAGTCAACAGTTTGGCAGTTCTCTACAAGATTTGCCAAATTCAGAGAACTGGAAGACACAGTAAAGTTCATCAAGTTTCCAAACAGCATCAAAATGGATGAACTAAACTTGCAAATGTTTTAATGGATAGACATGGATGATTTTGAGATGCAGTTGATTGAATTTCAGATTAGCTCAATTTGGAAGCAGAAATTTGTTGACCTTAGAGTTGACTTGGAAAATATTGAAAGAGAGAGATTAGAGATGAAAGTAACAAAGAGAAATGCGGAAAACGAAGTATTAAGGACTTGGAATACTATTCCAGAAAATTATGTCTGTTTAAAAACCTTGCAACAGCATTGTTAACCATGTTTTCGTCTACATATGCTTGCGAATCTTTGTTCTCAATTATGAACTTTGTTAAGTCTCGTAACAGGAGTAGCATGACAGATGAAACTAGCGCTGCATGCATCTCTCTCAATGTTACTAAATATAAACCCGATGTAAAATCTCTGTCATCAGTTATGCAGCAGCAGAAGTCTCACTGACAGTATATAAAAGGAGTCAACAAGTTTTTTATCTGTTGTATTCTATTAAAGTCCCAAAAGCTTAAAGGCTGTTGAAATGTACTTCTGAAGGTTAAATAATTCTTTTTTTCTGTTTTTTTATACTATGTTTTACTGCACTGAGGTAATTTATTATTTTTTCGTTTAAAAGTTCTTAAGAGATACCAAATATGTTCTAAAAAAATGATTGGCACGTGGAAAAAGTTTGTGTCAGAGACTTGGCTGATTTTGGCACGCACTCTCAAAAAGGTTGCCCACCCCTGGTTTATACTGTCGATTTACTAAGAAAGTCTCTGGGTGTTGCAGATATTAGTTCAGGGTAAGTTCTGGAATATAGTATAATAAATATATATATTGATAAATTTTTTATCGATAATATAAACTTAAAATGAAACTTTTCCAGCATGCTAGATAAATAATATTGTCTGGATTTTGGTGCATTTTATTTAATTTGAACGCGTTATACAAAATTTAAAGAATTCTCTCTTAGTATTCCAACAGTTACGTATCAATTCCTTATAACCCTTACAAAATCTTTTAAGAGTTGTACAATAGCACAATAAAATATCATTACACATAAGGGGCATAACTGGTCGACCCCTCACAGTGTTCAAGAGAGAACTGGATAAGCACCTCCAAAGGATACCTGATCATCCAGTCTGTGAATCGTACTTCAGGCTGAGAGCAGCCGCGTCCAACAGCCTGGTTGACTAGTCCAGCAACGAGGAGGCCTGGTCGACGACCGGGCCGCGGGGACGCTAAGCCCCGGAAGCACCTCAAGGTAGCAGCCGGTGATATTTAAAACGAACAATATTTTTTCAGCTTTCTAATCCCAGTATGTCACATCCGTCAGAGCAAAGAACCTAATCATAAAATAACTTTGTACTTAATACAAAATTTCTGTTCACTTTGAAATTATGTCTTTTGCAGAATTATTATATCTTAACAATAGTTTATAATGGTTGCAGCAAAAACAAGGCATTCTATTGAAGGGAATATCGTACCACCTATATTATTATACTTTAAAATATACAAACTCAAAATCCATATATAAAGAATAAATAAATTAGCTTGCCTGAAAAAGGTCTTATTGGCGAGAGGTGTTGCGGTAAGGAAGTGGGCTTCAGAGACACAATTTTCATCACGTCTGCCCTATAAGCGCTCAAGAACTCCATGACCTTGATTCGCTCATTGTGTGGCGCCAGGGGTCCGCACACATCAATTTCTTCTCGCTGGAGTTGTCCCATCATCCCGGAGAACTTGCCAGACTTTTCTACACCCCAAGAGTGCTCTGGCTGGTCCTGAATCTCGAAACTGTTGAAGGGTATATCGAACAGATGAAAAACAGGACTTCTGCCTATCACCCATAACTGATTATGTTCCAATTTCTTATGTTAAAATTTTTCAAAATGGGTATCACTCACTTCGTGTGTTTAAAGTGCACATTTATAAGTTTTTTAGATTTATTTGGTGATAATGGAGGATTTATATTGTTATGGGGATTTATATAGTGAGAGCAGATTCATTTAATAATTGGGGATTATTTGTTAATAAAGTATTCATGTTGTGATGGGGAGATTTGTGTGGTGAGGAGGGATTTAGGTAGAATGTGTAAAGATGATGGACACGCACTGTGACAATTCAAGTGGTGATGGCATAACATATGGTCTTGGAGGATTCAGGGGATGATGGAAGGATTCACGTTCAGATTGGGAATTCATGTGATGATGGAGGGATTTATTTAGCCAATCATCATAAACATTGGCCAAATGCTTCTCTTTTATTTGAATGAAAAACATCATATAAATGATTGACAATTTATGATATTAGAACTTTTCGAAGAATGATTCTATCACTTTCAATACTCAAGGTTCACCTCTCTGAATGCTTCACCCATACTAGGACATGCTCATAACCACAGTCCATCCTCATCAACAGAAGACAAATACTTGTTAATACTCCTGCCAAATCCTCTATTTATTTAATGAAAAGACATTACACTCGTTTTACAACTGCTGTTGTAAGAACATTTATCAAACTGCTCTTCAGGAACGATATTTGCTCAAATTGAAACTGCAAATATCTCACCCAAGTACAAGTTCAAGTTCAACTACGTTTATTGAGACAATAAAATACATCTCAAAAGGGGAGAGTAGCCAAAGGCTATTTCTACTTTCCTAACTACAAATATAAATAATTGCTAACAGAACCGAAACACCTAATCTAACCTGACCTACACTTAAATATGCACAATATGCTAAAACATACACTCCATGTTTGCAAACATTCCTATTTTGAATAAACGGCAAGTTAAAATTAATGAATTCTACGTTTGGGGGTCAATAGATGGAAGGAAAGAACATAGCCTGACGCAGCCCTTCCTCAGTCTCGTTAAGGCTGCGGCCGTCTCCCAAGACGGATTCATCAATTTTAGCGTACTCCTTATTAAAAATAGGTTTGTTCTCATTTATATTAATATATATTAACATTTTATGTATAGGTTGCTGTAAATTAGATTCGTTTATGTGCTTAGGGTATATTGGCAATTATTTGTATTTTTAATACGTGAGTGAAATATTTAAATAAATTCAAATCGAAACCCATCCTCAGACAAAGACCATTCCATCCAGCGGTCGGTCTCAAGGACACATTCATAAATTTTAACGTGCTGTTAATTCAAAACAGGAATTTTCTAAAATATAAATCAATTTTATCATATTGTGCATATTTAAGCATCGGTTACGGTAGGTTAGGCATTTTGGTTCTGTTGGCGATTATTTGTAATATGTGGGTGAAGCATTCACAGCGTTGTGGTTCGAACAAAAGTTGTTAGCGAAGCACTTGTTCCGGAAGTGTTCAGACATCATCAGTTATAAGTGGTGTGTAAACAGTTTTTCATTCATAAACAGGGTGCATGGAATGGACTTTGGCCTTTGATTATGAGGACGGGCTGCAGTTCGAACAGATGTTGTCAGTGAATCACTGCTCGAGAAATGTTTGTACGTCATCGCTTGTGAGTCAGCCCGTCCTCATAAACAAAGACCAATATCCATTACATGCACTCACCAAACCCCCCTTTTTATGAATGAAAAACGGTGTAGACACGACTGATAACAAGTGCTTCTCGGATAACTTTTTTCGAACCACAACGTTGTAAATGTAAATCCTACTAATACGGTCACTATGAACCAGTAACCGGTTTCTTGATGAATGAATCTTGCTTATTGCTTGTAGTATCCGACCCCAAATCGGTAATATGCTTTCAAGAACTGGCTGTATAGTGCAATGAATAAATAAGGAGGGAGGATAATCAAGACACTATTCCCATCACCAATATATTCACTTATACCTTTAAAATATAATAAATAGATTAATACTATACTTATTTACAGTACAGTAGTGTCGTTTTCACACAGGACACCAAAAGCGCACAACTGCAGTGTTTATCAACCCCCAGTGTTTCCAACACCCAGTACCTCGTCTGCTCATACTGGGAAACACTGGCGAGTTCACCTTTTATGTAGGCCAGCCCACTGACACAGTATCATGAGGTGCCTATACCCCACTATCACTCTCCAGCCACTCACTGGCAGCGGTCCTCAGCCACACACTGATCGGAGTCACAAAACATCCAATACAGGGGTAGTGAACCTCTAGCAGAAGCCTCTAGCGACCGGTTAGCAGCACTTCACAGCAAGCACCTCACTGTCGTTCGTTTCTCTCCTGAACCAATCCCGGGGTTTGCCGATCTCTTCCAACACTACATAATCAGCAGCTAACAAACTGCTTCAGATCGGCGGCGGCTTACTTAGTCATCTTCCAGGACTAAGTTGAGAGAACGTGGACTGCCCAAGGTAAACTGCCCTCTTCAGTACAAATGTCACAACACGTCACCTCTGTGGACATGAAACATCATCAGTTAACAGGACGGTACACTAGGGAAACCAGGAGGTAACTCTTACTCACTGGGGAGTTGACATTATGCTCCGTAGCACAATCTAAGTGGCACTGATCTTGATAAGCTCACTACCAGAGATCATCCACAATGACCACTCTGTCTGACCGAGGCAGGAAACTAGAGCCATTTGCCGACGTCATGCCACCACCAATAGATGGCGTTGTCCACGTAAGGTCGAATATCAGGGGGGTTGGAGTGCAGACCCAAAGATGGCATTGGAATTGCCACTTTACACTCTGACTAAGGTGATAGGTCCGTAACACCCACATACTACACTACAAATAATCAACAACAGAACCTAAACACCTATTCTAACCTAACCAATGCCTAAATATGCATAATATGCTAATATATCAATCTGACCTATTACAAATTATGTCTGAATTTGGCCGTTTACTCGTATGACCGAAAATGGATGTAATTTGAAAATTAAAAAAAATGAAAATAAATCTTGGATTTATTTTTCCTTAAACAGTAAGCTAAGGGTCCTCTGGTACATTAGGAAGGCAGGAAATTCTTCTAAAGTTTAAAAACGTCATGAAAAACGTTAGGTGAAAGTTTCCTCTCCTAACCTTTCTGAGTAAACCGGAGGACTCAAACAGAAAACGGGACAGAACATCACTTTCGTGAGCCGATTTAATTTAAAATTATGTCCATTTTTGGCATAGCGCATATAAGAGCAAAAAGCAACATTATTTTTAAGATTACGGGTTAAATATATAACGATATTAATTTATATTTGAGATGTCTATTTTCAATGAACAGCATTTTAAAATTTATGAATGCGTCTCTGGGGTCGACCACTAGATGGAATGGACTTGGTCTGAAGACGGGTTGTGTGAGTAGTGTGTAAGCTGTTCTTCATTCATAAACAAGTGGATGATCGGCCACAGGTCATCAGAATCCTCCACTGCCTCCACGACCTCCACAGGTGGGACAGTAGAACTACAGGGAGGCAGCGCATGGGTTACGGCCCACACGGCCACTCAATACTTCCACAGCAACAATACGCAGTGGCACCAGACCATGCACCTCCACACACGGCACATTGGGAACAGACACCTCACTCACAACACCAGGAAGCACATCATCCCCCACCATCCAAAGAAGTCACATCCTCCACAGCAACCACCACCACCACAGTAGATAGAGGCAGGGGGAAGCACGGGGGGACGCATCGCGTGAGGGACCACACACTCCATGTCCATGATAACCCCACTACCATCCTGGGAGCACACAGACGACAGGGACCCCACCGGTCCATCCTCAGGCTGAGCCACATCACCCATGCCACCACACACGGGGCCGGCACGTTTTCCAGTGGTGGAAAAGTCCTCTTCCTGGAACAAGTTTATAGGAGCCGCACCATCACCATGATAACCCGCCGTCTGGTGCCCAGCAAGACCGCACCAGAAACACGTCCATGACTGTTCAGTTTTGAAGATGCGAATGTTGAAGCCAAGAACCATAACAGAAGACGGAATCGGAGACTTGAGGCACATGGTTAGAATACCGGTCCCATTTTAGACGTTCTGTCATCTAACAGATGAGACTGATGTTCACAACGGTCCCAAACTTGCCAAAATATCGCCGTAACAGGCCCTCCGGGATCTCGAATGTTACTCCGTGAACTGCCACATAGGTAATGGAACCACTTCTGTCCGACACTGTGACGGCACCACCGTCACCTGGCAAGGAGAACCTACGCCCATCATACCGGGCCACCAGATCTCGGAATATAGCAGCAGAGCCAAGCTTAACTTGCGTCCGGCGACTGGAGAGGAGCTACATGCCACACACGTCCGCCACATCAACACCCAGGAGATCAAGCACCACCACTTCCACCGTCCGCTAAGACGCCAGTCCAGAGACTTTCAAATTGTTCGTTTCAGTATGGCAGACAGGAGGCAAGGGGGGTTCCCTACGCCACTGGCCGGCACTGCCGGGAGGCCCCGCTACATGGAACAGTCACACCAATCGCCCGGTCAACACTGGAGGAGCGACGACAACACATCCTCACCCAGCCAACTAGCCATTCCTCTTAAATAGACACTTTTCTAACTATATTCTCTAACAGAGGCAAAGAATAAATGAGTGATAAGGTGCTTTAGTTCAAGAGAGCAGTAATTGAATTGTGTTCCACAATGGCCATGAGATGATGTTCTCTCCAAGTGTCCACCCACACCTTCCCCCTGGGCTTCTCCCACTTTACAGTGTCTGGCCTTGAACTCTTGCTCCCCAGCTGAACATAAGGGCTTGTGTTTGATGTGGAGGGATTAATCCCTGAAGATTATCAAAACGGCATGAACTCTGACCACCTCGTGACTCCGTGACCGTTGACCTGTCCCTTTGGTTAGCTTCTACAGAGGTAGGAATTTTCCATTGTTTTGCACTGCTTGTCTGTCGACTGTGGCTTGTTCATGTTGTTCTATTATGTACTGCTCTCTTGTTACACTGGCGATCCCGACCACAGTATGTATATCCCATACATCAGACCATTAATTCTATCAGTTTGGTTAAAGCTAGGCCCAAGTGTCTGGCCTCCAACTTTGGACAAACAAAGAGATACAGACATTCTCCTCATAGAATAGATATAATTATAAAGAGTTTTTACTATTCAATATATTAAAATGTATAAATGAATCTCTTGGGCTCGGGCTCAGCTTAAGCGAGCCAAGCCTGAAGATTATTTGATTTATATGGTGGTTTTCCTTTTATATAGAGAGAAGTGGATGCGTGTGTGTAGGGGGGGGGGGCACTTAGTTTTAATTATAGACTTTGACTCGATGTGGTTATGGGACACTTACAGTATAAGGAGAACTTAGATTTATGAGTTTAATACTAATTTATGTGGTGATTTTATGATTAAATGGAGTGTCTTGGAATTCATGTGATGATGGGAGATAAATTTGGTAATGGGGGAGTAATGTAGTGATGAAGGATTAATGTGGTGATTAAAGAACTTTTGGGGAAATAGGGGGGATTCATAAGGTGCTGGGGATTCATAAAGAAATTGTACTGTTTTGTTATATAGCAAAATTATTTATTAGATTTAGAAAATGAATTAAGCAATGTAAGTCAAGAATTCATTAAATGGTTTTAGTTACTGCAACAAATGCTTTCTTATATAAAAGTATAGTTTCTAACCTGACATTTAGTCTTCTGTCAAAGTCGAGGAATAATCGTGTGTTGAGAGAGTCTACAAGAATCACTGAACTGCCTCGTTCATTATTGTTGCTTCTATAGTCCATATATGGGAAAAATGGCATGGTAGAAAACTTGATCTTGTGGCCCATTAAGTTGTGAAACTGCTCTGCTGGAGAGACGAAACTTAAACTTTCATGTTTGGTATTATTAATTTGAAAGCCAACCATTTTACTAGCAAAAACAATTCGTTTCTCTGTAGCTAAAACTGCAAGATATCTAGAACAATAAGGAAGATTAGCTTCAAAAAAATGGCGTATGTGATGGAAGGGATAGAAAATATTAGATCGGATAACAATGAACATATTATTGATAGAATTAAGGAAAATCACGTGAAAAACTTGTGAAATGAGACTGTATAAAATATGTATGTCTTGGGCAGAAGAACTGTACAATATGTTTTCAAATTTATTTAAGTGATATGCAAACTAAGAGGTAGGTAGGCCCACTTCGCGGAGAATATACACTGTGAGTTTACTTGGTATCGGGATATGTGTACAACTAAAGAGTAAATGCTGGTTTGGTCAGGAACCTAGTGTGGTGGCCATAATAACCTTACCGTGGACGATAGAATTTAAGCCCAACACAAAACTAAATACATTGACTGTCCTTTAGAAGGTATTTGCTTCTAAAATAATCCTTAAAGTATTTTACTTGGAATTTAGATTTTTTCATGTTTTGAACTCTTACTAATGTAATATCAAAGTAATAAAAAATCAAAAGTGATGACCGCCTGAATATGGATAATATAAATAAATAAAATTCAAATCAAAGAGAAAAAGCAGTATTAACGTGGTCTTAGCAGTGAAAGTAAATTTATGACGAATTTGTATTACTAGGATGGTAATGTGAAAATAAAATTTTACCATGAAAGAGGTCGTCCAAGGGAAGAGGGAGGGAGGTGAGGCACCAGTGGTGGACCAGCTGGACGTCTGGCTCGCCGGTGTTGCAGTACAGACAACGCCGGTACACCCGCACACTGCTTGATAATTCTGAAGGTGAGGGATAGCATGTAACAAGTGTTTTTATTTTTTTGTATATATATGCTTATGTGTATGTTTTACTGTTTATGAATTCCCAGGTTTTGGTAATTTAGAAGATTGTATGTATGTATTCTGGATTTATGTAAAATGTATTAGTATATGTATAAAATAATGTATTAGAATTCTTGTACTGATTGTATACATACAGTCAGTGCATATACTGATTGTATGTATACATACAATCAGTATGTATACTGTACTCTTACCCTAATTAGATATATTTATATATATTTCAGATTGGTATCTCATGGTGCTTATATACTCATTGGCTATTGGTATTCTTTACTGGGCACTGATCATTCGTCACTTTACTTACATTTTTTTCTATTGGTGCTCACATAAGCAAACTATGTGATTTTACTTTGATAGCTGTTGCGTTAGGTTTTGCTACAGTACTGGAACCCTGTCACACCATGCATAATAAGTAACTTTTAACAAATATATTTTTTGTTAAGTGTAGTAAATCTAAAATGAAAGGAGTTGATTCTACAACATCGTTGGAACTTATATCTCTACGTTTATGAATATAGCTTATGTATATATACAAACTATATGTGTATACATGTATATATATATATATATATATATATATATATATATATATATATATATATATATATATATATAAATACATATGTGTGTGTATAAACATACATACTGTCACGGGGGGTGGGCTGGGGCTCTGCTAGCGGGGGGCCTGCTTGGGGCTTAGAAGGCAGAGTACTCAGCCCCTTCGACTCTCAGGACTCGCCAGAGTCGCTTGGTCCCACAGGAGAGGACCAGTAATACCCACCACCGCAGGTCTTTGCTCCCACCACTGAGGGTGCCACTGATTCACCCTGGTGCCCTTCAGTCAATAACGTGGAAACGGCTGTTAGCAATTCCGGCCTAGACTCATGAAGGAGTGAAGGAAAACCCAGGCTTACCTTTTAACAATCACTTCCCCTGAGTCTTGCCTGCTAGAATAAAAGGTTGCAGGAATTCCTTTCCTGCCTGCCTTCCCTATCTTCTTTTAACAAGGTCGCCAGCTGGGTTGATGTATCTGCACCCCAGCAATGCAGTTCAGTGGGTGTATTCTATACTGCTTGTTGCCAAAGTGTTGCTACTCCTATAGAGTTGACACAGGTCTGTCAGCCTAAGGTACTCTTCCATAAAAGTCTGTGTAGCTTTACCTCTCTCTCCAGCCACTACTTTGCTTGTTGCCACAATTCCAGCTCTGATACTGGTCGGATGTACTCTTTTATATAAGTCTGTGCTGCTTTACCACTCTCCAGAAATAAGAACTTCTATAGAAAAACGTGATGTTCACTAGGTGGGACTATGATATTCCTCGTGTATGCTCATAGAGATTATTATGGAGGCACACTAAACACCATGATAAAATATATGAATTTATTGACATAAGCTACATGGTTACATATACAATTACAGTCAATACAGGAAATGAAAATAAGAATAAACAATCTGGAGATCGTCAGCAACTCTTCTTTCACGACCTCCAACAACTCCTTCAACTGGGCAGTTTAAAAAGGGGGCGCACATTCCCTCACATAGGGGCGTCTTCGTCAACGTCGGCTACCTCCTCTTCAACTGCCCCGTCGTCCACACACACTGTCCTCTTCCACAGTCCTAGACACAAGCTGTCCTGCAGTCTATCCTACTACTAATGTACCAATGTTATACTGCAACATACATAGGTAAATATTGTGACCTACCTAGCCTACTCAAACAAGGAGTAATGGGAGGGAAATTGATCTACCTTTACATTCCTGGCTCACGACGCCTGTCCCTCGATGGTGTGAGGTTCCCACGCTTCCTGAGTCGGTCCTTGACGATCCAGGAACGTTCCATAAGTCCTCAGGTGTCGTGAAGCCTTCGCGTCGTCGCCGAACCACTCCCAGAGTTTCAGATATCCCAATCCTGGTTCACCAGTGGACACTGAGCTAATCACTGTAAGCAAACACTCGTCCCTTCCACAAGGCATTGCTCCTTGCTCTAAGAACGGTGTCGTCCCTTCTAAATCCTCAGTGAACGTGACCCGGTCACAGCTAGGCCTGCCCGCCACGCCTTCCTGACCCCTCAAGCGTCAGGCGGCGTCCCTCCAGCGTCGTCGCCGACCGATTCTTCAAGTTTTGCCACTTCTCTGCTCAATGAACTTGGTTTCTTTTTGCTTCCCGGAAGCACAGGGTCTCCAATAATAATGGTGGGCTGCAATGGCTAGCTTTAATCCACTGAGTAAGGCTCCAAGAGCCTCAAATCCAGCAGAGCTGATCGAGATGCATCCTCTCACCTCCTCAGCCAGGTCAACTCTGACGCTACCACCGCTGGCGTCGCCAGGGGCACTCGGTGACGTCACGGCGGGCTCTGATTGGTCGCCTGTGACCTAAGTCAGCCAATCCGCACTCGGCTAGCATCTTCCACAAAATGGCGGATCTGCAGGTAGGGGGTACCATTTCATTTGTATCAGGGCGCCACTTTCCCTTTACCTACAAACTTATAATGTAAATTTATCCCTTATCTGGCAGCCGATCTGGTCGCCACATATACCAATAGACTCCCTGCATCTCAGAGAATCAGGAAAGAAAGCTGATATGACTCTTAAAGCAAGCCAACTGAAGAAATAGGAGAGGGCACCATAATAATACATATATACATATGTGTGTACAAAAATATATACATATGTGTGTATAAACATACATACATATGTATGTATATATGTCTTCAAGCATTTGTCTGAATGTATGTATGTTTGTGTGTATATATATGTCTGCAAGCATGAGTATGTATATATATATGTATGTCTGCAAGTATGTGTATGTATGTATGTCTGCAAGCATGTGTTTGTATGTATTCACGTAGTTGTATTAGCCCAGTTGTGCTTGCGGGGGTTGGGCTGTTAATCAACTGTTTCTAATTACTACTACTATTTTTTCCCCACACGACACACACACACACACACATACACCCAGGAAGCAGCCCGTGACAGCTGACTAACTCCCAGGTACCTATTTACTGCTAGGTAACAGGGGCATAGGGTGAAAGAAACTCTGCCCATTGTTTCTCGCCCGCGCCCGGGATCAAACCCGGGACCACAGGATCACGTGACCAGCGTGATGTCCGCTCGGCCACCGGCCCCCATGTATGTATGTATGTATGTATGTATGTATGTATGTATGTATGTATGTATGTATGTATGTATGTATGTATGTATGTATGTATGTATGTATGTATGTATGTATGTATGTATGTATGTATGTATGTATGTATGTATGTATGTATGTATGTATGTATATCTGTAAGCATGTGTCTGTCTATGTGTCTGCAAACATGTGTATACTTACCTATTTGTACTCACCTATTTGTGCTTGCATGGGTTGAGCTCTGGCTCATTGGTCCCGTCTCTCAACTGTCAATCAACTGGTGTACAGGTTTCTGAGCCTATTGGGCTCTATCTTATCTACACTTAAAACTGTGTATGGAGTCAGCCTCCACCACATTACTGCCTAATGCATTCCATTTGTCAACTACTCTGACACTAAAAAAATCTCCTCTCCTCGCCTCTCAACTGTCAATCAATCAACTGTTACTAACTGCTAACTAATATTTTTTCATCACACACACACACACACACACCCACACAAACACACACACACACCCACACACACACACACACACACACACACACACACACACACACACACACACACACACACACACACACACACACACACACACACACACACACACACACACACACACACACACACACACACACACACACACACACACACACACACACACACACACACACACACACACACACACACACACACACACACACACACACACACACACACACACACACACACACACACACACACACACACACACACATCTTCATGGAAACTCTTGTACCAGAGTTCTCCCTTTCTCTGGGGATCCCCCCAGACCCCCAGAGAAAGGGAGAACTCTGGTACAAGAGTTTCCATGAAGAATCTCAAGGTTTGGTACACCAATGCTGATGGGGTATCTAATAAAGCAGAAGAGATAAAAGAAAGAGTGAGTGAAGCAGATCCTGACATAGTTGCAATTGTGGAAACTAAAATTAATGACATGATCTCAGATGCAATCTTTCCTGAAGGGTACCAGGTGATACGAAAAGAGAGGACACAGAGACAGGGAGGGGGAGTAGCACTCCTAATAAAGCGGAAATGGAAGTTTGAAGACCTGGGAAATCGAGTTACCAATGAGTGCACAAGCTTCATACATGGAACTCTGACAGTAGATGGGAGGAAGATTGTGATCCTGGTAATCTACAATCCCCCACCAAACAGTAGAAGACCCAGGCAGGAGTATGATGACAACAACAAAGCATGTATAGATGAACTGCAGAAGGCAGCAACACTAGCCCACAGAATGAGAGCGAAGCTGCTGATCATGGGGGACCTAAATCATGGAGAGATAAATTGGGAATCAAGGAATCCCCATGGAGGGGACGAAACGTGGGGAGCAAAATTAGTAGATGTTATAGACAGGAATTTCCTGACACAACATGTGAAGGAAGACACAAGGGAAAGAGGAGGAGATGCACCGAGCCTATTAGACCTGATTTTCACCCAGAACGTAGAAGATATCGAGAATTTAGAGCATGAAATACCTCTAGGGGCCAGTGACCATTGTGTCCTAGTCTTTGACTACATGATGGAATTCAAACTTATGACCATGGGACAAGAGATCTGGGAAAGGAGAGCTGACTACAGGAAAGGGGACTATATGAGGATAAGGGACTATCTGGGTGAAGTGCAGTGGGAGGAAGAAATTAGAGGAAAAACAGTCCAAGATATGATGGACCTAGTCATACAGAAATGCCAGGAGGCCGAAGAGAGATTTATACCAACGGTAAAGGGAAAAAATAAGAAGGAATATAATAACCCATGGTTTAATAGACAGTGTCAGGAAGCAAAAATGGCCAGCAGACGGGAGTGGAGGAAGTACAGAAGACA